GAAGTACTCATTTAGGAGTTCAGTTTTCTATTTGGTGTCGGTGATCAGATGTCCAGATGCACTGAGCAGTGGTGCCATGTTTTCACTGATTTTCCTCCTGTTACCTATGTAATTGAATTCAAATGATAGTAATAGATCCATAAATTCAAATGATCCGTGATTCAATGATCCATTGAATTCAGATAATAGAAATAGAGGCTCTAACCCTAAGTTCCTCTGACAAATACTAAAATAAAATCTGAAAGAAACAGCAACCTTTATCTTATGATAATACTGTGTAGCCTGGCAATACAAAGAATTGCTTGCATTCTCATTTACTGTGTACATCACACCAAATAATATGTTCTTCTTCAGATACTTCCTGAAAGACTGGTTTTTTGCCATGTGTTGTGAAGGCCCAGATTTGGTTTTCTGTGAATCATGGAAGCATATTCTAAAAGAAAGAACTCTTTCACTGGAGATGCTTTATTAGTTATCTGCTTTTTTAATACTGAGGGGAGGTCTAGCTGAAGTGTCTTGGGTTATCTCAGCTCTGGCAACGAAGTTATGACCTCACATAGCTATTTTCAGTATGTTACCTAGTTCATCAGCTGCTGTAGATGGGCATAGTTCTATTGAACCCATATTGGTTTAAACCATCTGATGAGCTGATCCTCACACTACTACCCTTTAACTTATTAAGGCATTTTGAGATACATTTTGTATGAAAGGTGCCATGTGTTTAAAAAAAAAAAAAAAGCTGCATTTCAAGAAGTGTAACACTATAGATGAGACCAAGTCTCAAAAGCAACTGCATAAAAGTAGCATGAACAGTCAGGACACTTATATACATAACTGTAGAAATGCAGAAGGATCTCTATTTCTCCAAAATAGAAGGCATAAGTTACTGAAAGAAAAGCACCAGTAGATTTGGTAATTATTAGTCCATGATATATTCTGTAAAATTGTGTTTTTGGCTAGTGAAAATATGTTATGGTATCAAGGAGACTCTAGAGGGTAAGGGGTAAATCATATGATTTTTTAAAACTGTGCCTTATGTTTAAAGTTTGATTGTAAAAGGACATATGACATGGTAGGAAGAATGGTACGTGCTATTTTTCTTAGCCCACTGAACTTCAGGCTTTTGTGGCTGCTGGTGTTCTGTTCAAACACTTCATTTAACTTGCCTGGAACTTCATATATTTGAACACACAGCATGGGTGTGGTGTACTAGAGAATGTTTACTGATGGGGCAAGCATCCTCTTAGACAAATGAAAAAGTTTATGCCCTGAAAATATGGCATTATGGGTAAGGGGAGCTACCATTAGTATTCCAGCTCTTCACTGGAATTGTTCATAAAAGTTACTGATTGTTTCTGACTGCTGTCTAGGTTCTGTTTAATTGGGTCCTAAGGGGATTGAGGTAGGTGCAGTTTGGGTGCCAGAGCAGTTGACCAGAAACTAATTTTGCCATGAGAATCCATGGTCTGCTGCTTGTTGGTTTGTAATTTTGGCCAGGACACTTTATCTCTTTGTGTCTGCTTTCCCATCTGCAAACTGGCACTGTGTTGCCCACCTTTTCTCCCCATAGGAGATGTGAAGTATGTCAGTGCACTTGTTGTCTCTGAGGGACAGATTGCTGCGATTCCTCCTCTTCAGCTACCTGAAAACTACTTCTCCTTTATTGCCACTGGTGGGTACAATATGCAACCTTTTGTGGAGAGAGACATAAAAATAGAGAGACTAAGTAACAACCTCAGATATATATAGGTCCTGGAATTGGGAAATAAGTGAAACTTCTTAAGCAGATGCATTTCATACTTCACTAGGTGGAAGTGAGAGCTTATTTCTCACTGCGAATAGCTTATGGTGAAATTTGCTGTATTGACAGTAAATCTAGTGTCTTGGGTGGGTATATATGTTGAATGTTCATTGTTGACAAATATATTTTCTTGTCCTGCTGATAATGAGGTCATTTGCTTTGTTATACCTATCACCTGTAGATTATTGAGGCCATATCTAATTTTACTGTTTGTGTTAAGGGCAGAGATGATGTGGTAAATAATATTTATGTGAGAGTAGGAAAATTCACACCAGTACCTCTTGCCTCATTGACTGAAGTTTCACTGGAGATATCCAAGTGTGGCCTTGGGCTAAAACAGCTGATCACTGTGAAATGTGATATAACTCCTTTCATGAGTCTATTTAAATAAGCTTTATTACAAAAAAACCCCCTAAAGCTTTGATTTAGCAGCCTTGATATGAGGAGGAAGTGAGGAGAGAAAGGAGTAAAATTGGTAGGGGAAAATTTAAAAAGAAGGTAAGCATATTACAAGCAGGAAATCAGAATAGAATTCTGAAAAGGAGAGAATAAAAGTTAAATAATTTAAGGGACAAAAACAAAAAAGAGAAAATATTACATTAAAGGAGAAATTCTCTTTAAAAACAAGCTACCAAACAATAAAAACTCCAGTACAAAACTAATTGTCATTTAGTGAATAACCATACACCTGTACGAGGCCCTTCCAGTGCTAGAAAAAAAAAGATATATCAGCTTTCTATTTGCTGGCCAGTTGCATAGTATGGAACTCTCCCCAACAAAGATAGGAGACTTAAGTTCAGATACTGCAGTGGATCCTTGCAGCCTCTCAGAATTTGCAGGGTCAGGGTCATAATTTGTTGGACAGAATAGAGTAGTTCCATTTTATTTGTAATGTACTTTTGGATTGTGTGCATCAAAATCTGTATAATGCTATTTTTTCCAATAAACAGAAATGCCAAATACTGAAACAAAAGGTTCGTTAACTATTTTAAACTGAGACATTTAATTAACTTAAAATGTAGAAGATGCATCTCAATTTCCCATCTTACCTTAGTGATTTATATTTTGGAGATCTTACAGGGGCTTTTAATTTGATAAAAGAATATTTAATGATACATTACTAATAACATAAAGTATCTAAATAATGCCCAATACGTATGTATGTATAATGAGAGTTTGCTTGCCATATTGTGTTAAGAAATACCATTTTCAGTACAAACACAAAGGGAGTATTTTGAAACAACATATGATAATATTGACCAAGTCAAAGATCTTTATTGAAGGGTAGACTGAATAAATGTTTGTGAGTCTTAAGAACCAAACAACAAAAATATTTTTTCTTTCCAGAAACATTCCATCCTATTTTGATCATCAACATTAAAGCAGAAATTCACAATGAAGCTAGTGTATCTGGAAGGCCGATTGTAATCCAAGAAAAATAATGATATAGTTAAGTAGCAAAAATCCCTTTTGTATAAAGGAAATGTCAGATTGTAATTATTTTTGAGTATTATAATTTTAAACGTGTTCAAAAGTGGAAGGTATATTTTTAATATTAAAATTTTTAACTGAGGGAACAAATGTTGTTGCCTAAATAATTGAGACATGATAACTAACTTTTTTAATAAAATCAAGTTTTAATAGAAATTGAATTGCTTCAATTTAACACTGCAGGGTAGATACTGAATTGTTTCATAAATTCTCCAAATACTGTTATTAAGTTTGACATACTGGAGAGTATCATATGTTAGGTAAAATCAAGATTGAATCCCAAAGGTACATCCTTAAACTGCATAATCAGATTCCCATTTCAATGTCACACTTATCCTTCAAAGAATAGGTGCTTAGTTCAGTGATGATTTGTCATTAAAATTATGTCAAAACGTCTTAAAATGTTGTTGAAACTATAAACAAACTCACAGCACACACAGGGCTAATTATGGATGCCATCTGTTTATTTTTACAAAGCTATTTTTTTAAAGACCACTACATCTTCTCATTCTGATAAGACATAAGATTATTATAATGACTAAATGTTTTCATTCAATTAGTGTACTTGAAGTAAGGAAGACAACTGGTTTGTTCACTGACCTTTTCCTGTGTCATAAAATGTATGTAATATGACATCTTATGATAGAGAAACCATTGGGAAGTGGATTTCTTAAGATATTTGACTCCTACAACAAAACCATTTTATAATAAGAATGACAGTTCTGTCATCATTTTTGCCTGAGAAGTTTTAACATTCTCAATGTGTGTACTACATGGTAATAAATTGTGTATCTTAAGTTGTGTGCATTTGGTAGGGACATAACCAGTCTTATGTTGCTTTTATTTCACAACTTGCTCCAAAATGACTAGTTACAGTTTGCTGTAAAAACCAATAAGCCTCTTTAGTACATGTCTGCATATTGTACGTGGGTCTATGTGTTTGCTTGTCCACAAATACATGCTTTAGTGTGAACAATGGGTATTCCCATGACAGCATCATCCAAAGCCGTTAGCTGCAATTTGCTGAGAGAGCAGAGTGACTCTACTGGTCCAGCCCAGCTATTGTGCATGCTAAGCATTACACAGATAAGTCTGGAGGGGAAAAAAACTGAAGGATCCATCTGCTCATTTCTGCTACACTGCGCTGATGTAAGATTACGCTAATCTGGTTACTTGTCAGGACAGGTTAGTGAAAGCAGGCGAATGGGTGAGATTTAGGGTAGACTAGTTCTATGGAAAATCATAAGCTGCTCCTGTACATGCCATGTTAAGTGTAGCAGAATAGGTTGATCATCAGCTAGTTTGAAGATTTCAATTAAAATGTGATCTATTGGTAGTTTAAAAATATGAGCCCTCTTAAAAAAAACAAAAACAACCCCCCCTAAAAATCTTGTAAACAAACAAAAACTAACACATTTTGCAACAACTTAAATGTTAAAAGAAAAAACCGTTTCTGTGTTCTCTACAGTTTTGCTTTTACGTTTTGTATTCGTTATCATGTTTTGCTAATTTATTTAGCAAGATGGTTATTGTTGAGCATGGGTACAGTCTTCTCTTTTCTTCTCTTGCATCAGGGGAAAAAACCTTAAAGTTGACAATTATTCTCTGCCCCATTTTGGCTTGTATTATTTTCATTTGTCTGTTACTTGTTTATGGTGTTTTTTGGTTGTTTTTGTTACCTACTGATTGACAGTTCTTGACCTTGCAGGTTGAACATCCCGTAACAGAATGCATTACCGGGCTGGACCTAGTCCAAGAAATGATCCGTGTTGCTAAGGGTTACCCTCTCAGGCACAAACAAGCTGATATTCCCATCAATGGCTGGGCAGTTGAATGTCGAGTTTATGCTGAGGTAAAATCAGTGGTAATGGATGGAAGATTGGGTGGTTGTTTGTAGAACACATAATACTCAGGTGTAGATGGACACCAAGGTGAGATCAAGGTTTATAACCTGAGCTTGATTGACTGTATGTAATACAGTGAAAAGAAGTGTTGTGTAGAATTTTTATTCCATATTTTAAAAGGAGAAATAAACCCCAAATTATTTCCATATACATTTTTAGAGGAAACTAGATCTCTTGTAGTAAGACAAACAAATGGTTGTAATTTCAAAGGAAGTTTACTCTGAATTTTCAGTCGCATATGATGTTTTGGCTGTATTTTGCTTACTGTTAGACTATTAATTAGTATATCATTTTTGCTTACCTCAATATTTCACTTGTTTCTTTTTAGTGTGAAAAGATATTTGGCTAAAATATTGTAAGCCAGCAAACTTTTTATGGTACTAATCCATTTGATACTTGGTAAAGAGTTCATGAAGAACGTTAGATCTTTTCCAGCTACATTTGTTTCATAGGTTAAACTTTGAAACAGAATCCAGAATTTATAAGTGGTTGTTTACATTTGTGTTATGACTCCCTATAATAGCAATAAATATTCTCGAGCATGGCTAAGATATGGTATCTAAACACAGAAACTGTTTTGCCACAAGTATATTGTCCATTTGCTACAGAATTCAATATCTTGATAAGTCTGCAGTGATATTATATTATAGAGAGATTTGGAAAGAAACGAAAGTAATTTGACTTCCATGGGGAATTGGGTGCCTGTGAGAGCTGCCCTTCATGTCTTTAAAGATCTACTTTCTGCCCTCCCTCTGATTCCCCTCTTATTCCTCTGTATCCCCTCCCAAACCAAAAAAATGGGTAATGGGGATGAGGAATGAAGATTCAATATCTTTTATATCTTAATGAAATAGTTTGAGTATTTATGAGGTAGGACTACTTTTTCCCTGGTTTAATAACTGTCCTACAGGAGATGAGATTTAAAAGAAAATTTCCAATTTGTTGTTGGAAAAAAGAAAAGCATAGCCCAAAATAAGGGATTTTGAAAATAAAAAACATCAGTCTTAAGCAGAAAAGGTAAAAGCTATTAATTTTCCAACTTTTTAATTTTTTTCTGTGTGTTTCTCTCCTTGTGTGCTTATCTCTGTAAATTAATTTTTTCTTATATTTGAACTTTATTTCAGGATCCCTATAAATCTTTTGGCCTGCCATCTATTGGTAAACTGTCGCAGTACCAAGAACCATTGCATGTGCCCAATGTAAGTAATAGGGTCTGAGTTTTCATACATACACAGCACTATGGATCTCATTTACTTTGTTGGGAGTTGCAGCTGCTTGGCAGCTTTCAAAATTGGGCCCCTAGCTTTTATTTTTTATTGCTGTCACTTTTAAGGAGCTCATGCTATTCATTTCTGCTCATTTAGATTAAAGTACAAAAAATACAGTGCTAAATTTGATATGAACATTTTATCCCAAATGCACATCAAACTAAACTACAAAATGTTGTTCTGTTGAAGTATTCTTGGATTTTATTTCTTGAAGTGTAACCCTTTCAAACAAGGCTTAGATTTAAATATCCTGTAGAGCAAATAGGATAATCAAATGTTGAATGAACGCTTTAACTGCAAAGAACTGTAGACTATACTGGAGAAGACAGACAGAGAAACTCTACTACTTGTTCTGCTTCATAGCCTTTAAAGAGCAAATGCTATTTGCTACAGTTGAAGAAAAGTGATTATTATACATTGCACTTTGTAGTCTAACTATGCAGAATGGCTGTTTAACAAACAGTTTTGTGCTGCATGAAAAGAACAAGGACATCGCCTTTCTGTATAATCAAGGTAGTCAACGTATTAAGTGCATATATATATATGACACTGTGTCGGCTAGTGGAATGACAAGGCTGTACCATCTGTGAATATGACTTATTCTGATTACTTGCATGGAAAACAGTGGAGGATTACAGGAGGAATCCTAAATTTGGTGATGTTATTGGATATATGATTTATTTCACTTCTTAAATTGTTTTTGCTCATATGCTTTCTAAAGGGACCTGACCCTTTCTGGTTGCCAAGGCTTCATGCTGTGTTCAAAGCCTGAAAGCAGAAAAAATTGTAAAGGCTTAACAGGCATTATGTGACATTAAGTAGAAGATAAGAAAAATGAGTATCATAGGATGTATCCAAACTTTTTTAATGAAACAAAGACTGTATTAAATAAGAATTTATAATGATTACTCTAGTGGTTGTTAGAAGTTTTCACCATGTTGTAATAGCTAACAGGATGTCAAACATTTTGCCCTTGCAAGTTTTTGCAATTTGCAATTTTCCAAACGTGAGACCTGTTGAAAGTACAAGTGATAATGGACAAACTCTACCCCCTACAGTCTTTGTCCCACCAAATCTTTCTTCAATTAATGCTGCAGCAGGAGTTTTATGTAATAACATTTGCGCTTGTGAGCCATCCATACAAAGAAAAAACAATTAAAATGCCTTAAATGTTCTGCTTACTGCTGTTATTTGCTTGTGTGAATGTTGCATGTCAGCTAAATGGACCACGGAATAGATAAAGTGATTGGGTGCAAGAGAGTGCACACTAAGCTTTGTCTATCATTATTGCTGGGAGCAATCAAATTGATGCCAGCAGGACAGTAGACGCGTTGACAGCTGTAATTATGTATCTCCATGGTGATCACTTTTGGCCTGTCATGGAGGCCCACGAGTCCCCTCCCTTGCAAGCATTTAATCAGATTGGGCTGTCACTTGTCAGGTAGACAGGGCGGGCTGGGAGTTGTGCTTAGGGGGAGAGGTGAATTGAAAATGAAGGGTGGGAGATGCCTGATAGCTTCACGTGGTCCATCATGGTACTGAAGAAAGAAATTTTAATTATGCTGGAGGCTTCAGAGCAATGGTTTGAGGAGCTCATACAGAGTGGCTGTGCTGTTTTCTTTCTGTTTACTCCTATTGTCTTATTAAAATTACAACAGCTATTTTCATTGGAAAACCATGTTTTGGCTATTTCTTCTTTTATAAGAACAGATAATCTTCAATACCCAAAATTAATTTGCCTTCTGAGAATGCAACTGATTTAAGAGCAAAAATTGATTTTATTGAAAAAAATTAATATTTCATTGAAGCTGTTGATCTCTTTTCATTTCTTTAATAAACACTTGTTTTCAGAATTTAATAAGTTGTCTGTAAAAATTGGCCCCAAGCTGAAATTTGGCATAACAGTCTCAGCCTAGGAGTAGAGCTTTCCAAATAAGATTTAAATTGGTTTGTCTATTTTTGTTTTCAGGTTAGAGGAGTTAAGTTTTTCAGTGACATAAATGTGTGTTTGGGGATGAGAACTTAAGGAGATTAGAAAAACAGGGGCCATGGAGGCACCAACATTTATTTGATGTTGTACACTAAAAATTAATCTATTGGCTTTAATATATTTTTAAGAATTTGCATCTGTTAGTTTAGAATTGATTATTAGTGTATATGTAGGCTTAAAAATTATAGTGATGCTAAAAAGAGGTAGTTGCAAAAAAGCAAGTATCAAGATAGCAAGTATACAAATTTACTGTTCATGTTCAGTGTAGGAAATACGTTCCTTTGCACCTGGCATACACCTGAAGAGTCAGCACCATTCTTGGCTAATAGGATCAACAATCCATTCTCTTATGCTCCCCAAGATTGGTCCCTTAAGTCCTGATACTGTTTAAAACAAACAAACAACACCTCCCTCCCCCTCCCCCCCCCGCCAAAAAAAAAATTGTGCTTGATCAGAAGCCTATGTTCATAAAGCAGTGGGAGCTCATGGACCTGCAGCTTATCGTAGGATTGGAAATAATAGGTTTTTTTCCAGAGCACCTAACACTGTAGCATAATAATGCACAATGGCACCAGAGTACAGCACTATTATAGCTGTTTTGGTTTATAACACCATTGATTTTAGGGCTAGTAAAAGATCTTGAACTGTATATTCTGTTTAGTTTTCATTTTTGCTGAGACAGGGAAACATTAAGTAAAAGTAATGCAGATGCTCTAATAAGAGCTATTATTATCTGTCAATCTTAAATGCATTACAGGAAAGATCTTTTGAATTAAGCTGACTTTTTTAATCTAATTTTCACTAAGTTTGGTTACCCTTTATTTGGTCACTTAGCCACTGTTATTGTACTTCTGAAAAATCTACGTGCAACAAGGGTAACTGAAATTGTAAATATATTTCTTTTCTAAAGTAGGTTTGTTGTTTTAATTTAATTTGCCTGCTTTTGTTTTATGAAGATTACATTTTGGAAGGGATAGTAACTTTTATTATTTATAATGGGACCTCAGATAATTTGCATAATTTTATGAAATTATACAGTAATTTTTAAAGAACTTATTATTTTTGCACTTAGTATTCCTTCAGTATACTGCCCTTTTAAATGTAGTATAGAGTATGTGTATACATATTGTGTGTGTACACATGGCATGTGTATTGATCATACCTAATATATATATACACCTTCATTTATACTCTAACACCACATGGTGTTTATATATCACTTGTCATTTCCAAAACACCATAGAGATATCAAATAATACTTACAGTAGTCTTGTGATGATATATATATATATATATATAGAGAGAGAGAGAGAGAGAGAGAGAGAGAGATAGAGATATATAGATATATATGTCTTGTGTGTGTGTGTGTGTGTGTGTGTGTATATATATCTCTCTCTCTGTATATCTCACAAGACTACTGTAAGTATTAATTACTTGATATCTCTATGGTGTTTTGGAAATGACAAGTCATAGATAAATCCCATGCGGTGTTAGAGTATAAATGAAGGCATATACATTTCTATTGTTTACATGTCTATATATACTGTACAGAAAAGCAATGTACCATGTGCAACAAATGTGTACTATAAGTAAGAGGAACTTAATTCACTTTTATTTGAATGTGTGAATAAATTCGCTTAGATATTTATATATAGATACCTATATATAGATCTATATCTGTGTGTGTGTGTGTGTGTGTGTGTGTGTGTGTGTGTGTGTGTGTTAAAGGAGGGGGGATAGAGTGGAAGCTCCAAGCATGGGAATCAGGAAGTAATTTTCTTGTTTCTGTGTTACCTTGCTTTGCCTAAATTACTTTCTCATCTGTAAAATGGGGATAATAATGTCCTTCCTCCCTTAGAGTTGTGCTAAGAGGTCTGATTCATTGCATCTAAAACACCTTGAAGTTTGTTGTAAAAAAGGTTCTATAGAATTGCAGCAGCAAATGTTTTAGACATATAAGAATGTTTATATAATTAGAATATTTAAAAAGTATATTATTATGTAATAAAACCCTGCCAGAATGTAGTTTGCAGTGAAGAAACAGAATAAATCTATTTAGAGTATCTTTTATGTCATTTGGATAATAAAGTCATCATCATGCCCTCATGTGGATTCTGTAGACAAGAGGTTTTACATATGGTCCCTTGATAATTGCCTAAATTAAAATATTAAAGGCCTAACAGCCGTTGTGTTGACCTTTTTCTGCCTTGCTGCAGACAGATGAGCTGCTGTTTATTAGAAAGGTTGCTTCCCACAGGTGAAGATTTAAGTGAGTTTCTAGGCTGCTTCTCTCCCACCTTTTTTACATTGTAGTATATCAAAGCCCTACTGTTCCAATAGTTTTGATCAGATTCTTCTATCCTGAAGATGTGGGATGCATTTATCACTCTTGAATTATTTGGATTAGGGTGTTTTTTTAAATGCTTCAAATTTCAAAGCTCAACAGCAACAATTTAATAAATATTTATTTCCCAGATATTGCTCATTTAAAAAGTTTTAGATGGCTAACCTCAATGCCACACTGATGAAATCAAACTGAGAGATGAAAACACGAATCAGCAATATAGTAACTTGTTGGTTGGTTAACAGCAATCAGTTTCTTCAAAAGAATTTTTTGAACTTGTGCTGTTTTTTTCCATGGAATTTGCAGAATCAGATCTTTAATTGGGACAGTGTCCTTACAAAGCAAAGCCATGGAAAAAGCTGGGTAAACATTAAAGCCTCAGGGGAACAGAAGCAACAGAAAAAAATGTTTTACAGTGGAGAGGGTGAGGCAGAAATGGAAAGTGTTACCGACATGAAAGCCACAAGACCAGTATTCCTATAGAGCTGATAAGCAGAGTTCCAAAGTTCCTGCAACTTAGTTATGTCCCCCCTGGGACCCTCAAAAGGGTGACAAGGGGCTACAAGGAATGTGATTGCATACATACTTAGAAAGGATGTGATTACAAGGGGTATCTTTCATGCCGGGTGTCAGTTGGAGGACTAATTACAACTGTATTTTATTACAATGATTAAGTCAGAGTTGGAAGTATTAGGAGTTCAAATTTAGAGTTTTATAACACAATATAAATTACTAAGTTTAAGGTTGCATTTGTATTTTCTTTGAAGGAGTACAAAAACATTTTACATACAAGAGAGATGGTGTTTCAGCTTTCTGTGAAAAAGAATGTTTTAATTTATCCTGTGAGATTTCTCATGTTTAAAAGTGCCAGATATATTTTCAGATACAGAATGCAGTGTTCTTCAGTGTAAAATTATTAAATTATTTTTGTACCTTTTTTGAAGGTACGTGTTGACAGCGGCATACAGCAAGGAAGTGATATTAGCATTTATTATGATCCCATGATCTCAAAAGTAAGTTGATTGTTTTTATTATGTTCAAAAACTATAAAATACTTATTTTAGATATACTTTTTTTAAATGAAACGAATTTTTATGTTTCATGATGAGCCAGTATTTCAAAGCTGCTGGAAGTGATATGCCTAGAGGGAACATGAAAGAGTTTAGAAGCGGGTGGGTGAAAGAGGAAACTTAATACATCAGATCTAAATAGAAATTCATTTACCCTTTTGACATGTTTTCCATGATTATTCTTGCTATGTTTTCTGATTACCAAAAGCATTTTAATTTAAACAAGGGCCTGCAGTCTTAGACTTACGTGTTTTTAGTAGTTTTTTTTCTGCTTGATCTTCTGGTGCACTTTCAGGTCTGTAATCCCCAACAAAATATCTGTGTTAATTAGGAGTTAAGGTTGAGAGTACCTATCATTAATTTAGTGCTATTAGGAAATTATATTTAGTGTGTTGGACAGTAAAAACTTATGTAAAAACCAAACATTTGTAAGGATGGAAATTAATTATGGGATGGAAATCAATTTATGAGAGAACCAAACATTTATAAGAATGAAAATTACAGCCAGAGTTCTTGTTACTACTTGAACTTGTGTTTCTCTAAAAAGAACAGAAATGTGGGTCTAGGTACTTCTGAGTTGGACAAG